ATGGCAGCAATATAATCTTTGGGGATGAGATGTCCAAAGCATCTTGCAGCATAAAGTAGGGTGCAAATTCCCTGAATGCACCACTCAGACTATTTCAGTGTGGATTGGTGGATTAAATATGGGCCAGGCAGTCTGGCTTTGACTGCAAAGAATTCCACCTTCTCAAAGGAATTCTGATTCTATTTTATATGGGAAATAGAGACAAAGAAACCTCTGAGTATTTAGAATCTAAAGACATGGAACTGAATAAAAATCCCAACAGGGTGTGAGAAAGATGCAAACAGCCCTTCAGTTTGCAGCTACAAGTTGATTTCTTGATACCAAATTGAAGCAGTTCCAAAAAACTGAGAAGAAAAACAAATATAAAAATCCCTGTGCTTTCTTTCCTTCCTTGTGTGACCTTATGAACCTTCATGACTCCAGGTAGCATTCGACACGGCTGAGGATGTGACCTTTCAGTAGCAGAATCAACTCAATCTACCAATACCTTTACAGAAACAGGTCTTAAAAGCATGACAGGGTTTTTCCACTTTTTGGCCCCAGAGCTTAACCATGGAGCATAGTAGAAAAATCTCAGGATACATTGATTTGAACCCAGAAAACCTAAATATTTATTAATTGAAGAGCTAAATATTGACTTCATGTCAAAGTGAAGTAAATATCTGCAACGGGAGTCTCAACATTTATAAAAAAGAAATAAGAATTCTAGTGAGCAGCTTGCTAGGAAACAACCACCCACTTCCAAGAGCAGCTAATACAAGCAGAGGAAAAAAGCCCACACTTCTCTTGGGTGGGCTATTTAGGCTCCACAATATCTGAAAAGATACTTTGCCCCAGTGTGGGAATAAAACTATCATAAGTGCCCAAGCTCCTCCACTGTCCATGGAGAGAGAAATCTAGTACACAGGCATGCAGTGACAGGACAAGAGGGAATAGTTTTAAACTGAAAGAGGGTAAGTTTAGAATAAATATTAGGAAGAAATTCTTTACTATGGTGAGGAACAGGCACAGTTTTCCCTGAGAAGCTTGACTGTCCCATGCCTGAAAATGTTCAAGGAGACGGAGAGGGCTGGCCTACCTTTCTGATGCTGAATTTTAATCAAAATGCATAAAAGAAGGTTTCCTCAGCTCAAGGGAGTTGAAATCCATAGACCCCACTAGCCAAAACAGTGCCAAATCCACCAGGCTGTGGAGCAACTGGGGTGAGGGAAAGCAAGGGCCAGGGGATAAAAGTGAGGAAGAGGGTCTCTACTGTACCTCTTGGTCAAGCTGAATCACCAGGCACTAAGGGGAGCAAAATTCATGAGGCCAGGCAGGAAGAACAAGTAAGAGGAACCTTGATCCTTTCCAACAGCCATGGAGCTTCTACCAGGAGGAGCTGGCTTCTCCCTCTTTTCCCAAATATGTGCATTTTTCCTACTGGCTCTCAATCAGTACATGGTATTGATATAATCAGCATGGTGAGCAAAGAGGTGACAATGTTCCATACCAGTCCATTGGTCAATACAGAGCAAGCAAGTTGACTGCAGTGAATTACTGATGAGGGGCTCACATCCATGGGACATGGTCCAGTGACAAAGGGGGAGGATGGACCTACAGAAAAACCTGTAATTTTGACCAAGGCTGTACAGCTAGAGTGCGAAGTGTATCCAAGACTGCCACACTCCTCTGAATTAAATAAAACCCTGCAGCTGCAAGTGGTTGTTTGTTTAAGCCTTACTTGTTACAGGAGTTTAAAAAATCTTTGCTTCTAATTTTGAGTTACTGCAGGACTCCGACAAGGACAGGAAACATTCTGAGAGCAGGCAGGTAGACCTCCCTGTTTCATCTTTTCCCACTGGGAACTGATGATGTTGTTTGCTGCTGTTGTCAACAGTGTTTTGTTTAAACCTCTTGCAATAACTGAACTCTTTCACAAGTAATCCTGCTGGCCACTGCTGTGGGTTCTTCCTTCTGAGAAATCACATCAATGGCAATCGAGCTTGGACAGCTTCCTAAGCCATCTTTTCCACCTCCACCACAAAGGAGAGAGTTCTGAGCAATCCCTTACATAGCAGCCAGGCAAGGCTTCCTCCTCTGCAGGAGTACTCTCATGTGGGGGACAAGATCAGAGTGACCTGGCTTTGTGGCTTTTCCCAACAGTTTGGCGCATGAAAAACCTCCTTTCCTGGGATTGCATAATTAGAGGAAGGGAAATGAGATCTCAGGGAGGGACTCAGAGATCATGGGGCAAAACTCCAACTCTAGCTCTTCTTACTAATCCAGTTTATGTCATCCTCATTTTCACTTCTTTTCCTTGACAGGTCTATTAGGATTCATTCAGGAGAAAGTCAGAGTGACTCAGACATCTTCCTTTAGCGCAAGAATTCTCTGAATTTTAACAGGTCCAACCAGCCATGATGTTATCAGACATTGAGAAACACAGAACTGAGCTGGTGTCTTCTGGGAACAGAAGATCTGAGGAAAGCTCAGTATGCTCCTGGAAGGAGTTAACTAGGAGAAGATGTCCTATGGTTCCCAGACCTGCTAGGGTCTCTGCTCCAGCAATGCAGGAGGGCTGTTTGGAGAGAGAAAACTGAAGTTCCATTCCCATCTTTTACCCTCCCCTCGTGTCCCAGGCAGTGAACTGTTTGAGACAGATGGGGATATTTGTCCAAAAACAGCACGGCTGGTTTTGTGTGGGAATGTTCAGTCCATGGGACCACACAATTCTGGGGAAATCCTGTTTTATCTTTACAAAAATATACTCTCATGTGGCAAAGAAATAGAAATAGTGATGGTGGGAAACAGGATCTTAAGACTAAATGTCCTCTAAAAACGGTCTTATTATGAGAGTTAACTCTTTAGTCTGCTGGAGGGCCACAAAGTTGCTCAGAGGGCTGGAGCACCTCTGCTGTGGAGACAGGCTGAGGGAGTTGGGCTTGCTAAATCTGGAGAAGACTCCAAGGAGACCTTAGAGCAATTTCCAGTGCCTAAAGGGGCTACAAGAGAGTTAGAGAGGGACTTTTGACAAGGACTTGTAGTACTAGAACAAGGGGGAATGGCTTCAAAATGTCTGACGGGGGGGAGGTTTAGATTAGAATTTTGGAAGAAATTGTGAGGGTGGTGAGACACGGGTACAGTTGTTGTTTGAAGTAGCTAAGAATCAGATGGATGCATAGCTAATTTTGTGTGAGCATCACATCAGGTCTAATCCCTATCCCCAGATCGCCCAGAACTGCCAGCCCTGTCCTTGTCGTGACTTTGGTCAACTACATCAAACTGGACCTGTATTATATCTACATATATATAATAAATAGATATTATATATTAACTGGATCTCAGCCAAAGGATTTAATTCCCAATTTCTTCACCTTTGAGCTGGCATTTTGCTTTCCTGAGGCCAACTTTGACATGGCAAAAGCCTAGAATAAAGCATGGGAAAAAATGAACAAAATGGAAAATTAAACAAAAGTTTCCAGTTCAACAACTTCTCCTACTCAGAGCCCTAAAAACTGAAAAGTGTAAAGACCCTGCTGAATGGATCCTTACAAGAGACTGTTCATGTCTGGAGATACCACTGTGACATTTACACGGAAAATCACAACCCAGACTAAGGGGTTTTCCCATGGTCTTTCCCAAAAAGCATTCAGCCCAGCTGAGTCCTGCGCACACATTTCCTCTCTCTGGCTCCCTGGGGCTGCTCCTTGGCAGAGCTCTCGCAGTCTGATGGTGATTCCCGAAAAGCAGCTCCTGAGACGGGCAGAGTGAGCACATATCCTGGATAAGCCACACTGGGAAATGCGGAGGGTGGAGAGGAACAACTGTGACATCTTCCTGATGCCCCCAGTACCTCCTGCCTCGAGCCTCAGCCCCCCTGACCAGAGCTGTGTTTGCTGGGCGGGGAGGTCACCCAGCAAATCTCCATGCAGTGATGTTCTTGGAGAAAGCAGCTGAGCAGAACAAAAACAAACCAAACCCTTTTCACCACTTTTTCATCAAAAAAGAGATGCTAAATACAAATCTCAGCACCAGGCTTCTTGAAGGTTGTGGTCTGAGCAAACCCGGATCATCAATATGGGGCAAGTGGGGTGTTTTGGTGCTACTAAAAGCAAACAACAGGAAGCCTGATTTTCTTAACTTAAACTTTTTAAGAAACAAGCAACCACACATCTTGAGACTTGGCACAGGCCAGTAATACACAAAGGGTGCAAGATGCTGAGTATGAGAAGCTGCAGCCAGCCACAGGGGATGTCCTCTGTGCCCCATGGACCCTTGCAGTCCCTTTTGCCTTTTCCAGTGTCACGGCACCATGACGTGAGGCACCTGACACCTGAGATAGGCTCAGTTGGTTTGAGCCTGGTGCTAAAAATGCCAAGGTTGTGGGTTCAATCCCTGTGTGGGCAATTCACCCCAGAGCGGGACTTGATCCTTGTGAGTTCATTCCAGCTCAGAATATGCTGTGAATCTGTGACTTCTGATTCTCTTTCCAGTACCACCATCATGACTAAAGCCACCACTGTGCTGCTATATCTAATAGCCAAGAAATTCTGATGCAGGGCTGCTCATTCAGAGCCCCAGCACTGCCTGTCCTCCAGTGATGGGGTTCAGACTCTCTGTATCCCACGTGGCACTAAAGGCCTGGAAAACTGAATGAAGGCAGTGTTCAGGAATAGAACTCTCGTCTGCAAATACAGCCCTGCAGAGGTCAGAGCTGGAAACACGGTTGTAACACGGCTGTGCTGAAAGGGCAACTCCGGTGTGAGCCCCAAGAAAGCAAAGGAACGACAAGGAATTTTAGCCGTGGGGATGCAAGGCAGCAGGAAGGGGGACTGTGTGCTTGTGCAAAGCTGTCTCGACGCCTCCCCTCGCCTCTTCCCCTGTTAAGGGGGGTCTGCCAGCTCAGGAGTGGCACAGTCTAGCGCAAGTCCTGCCTCCTGCCTCCTTCCTCCTCCTCCTTCTCCTCCTCCTCCTCCTCCTCCTCCTCCCAGATGTTCCCTTGTGTGCAGCCATCTGTTGAGCTCCCTCCTCCCTCCTCCTGCGGGGAAGGGGGCAGCCAGCTTGCCCGGCCAGCTGCACGCCTTGCACGGGAAGGAGAAGGGAGAAGGAGCAGAGCAGAAGGGGACAGCCGGCCCAAGCCCTGCTGCTGCCGGCTCCCGGCTCGACCGATCCCGCCCTGGGAACCGGCCTGGCGCTGGGAACCGACCCCGGCCCCGGTGAGTCCCCCTCTGCCCCCACCCCGTCCCTGACCCCCGCATCCCCTCCCTGACCCCCACCCCTTCCTTGCGCTCTCCATCCCCTCCCTGGCCCCTGCACTCCGCTCTGCACCCCCTTCCAAACTTCCCAGGGTGTGCAGAACCGTGGGGCTCGTTTTTGGGAGGGGGGAAGCTGTGCCGCGATGGGCTGAGCCCTCCCTGCCGCCTGCCGGGGTGCGCAGGGCCAGCCCCGGGGTCCCTGCTGCGGAGCCCTCCCCAGCCTCAGAGCGCGGAAACTTTTTTCGGTGGGATGAGCTTTTCCTCTCGAGGGGGTTCAGAGGCCGGGGGTGCAGGGTAGAGGGAAGGACAGAGGTCTCGGGTGGAAGCAAACTACTTTTTCCCCCACCTCTGGTTTTTCCAGAGGGGGAACTCTGCGATGCGGTGGGGGCGTACGAGTCCCCAGCCCGGCTCCCCTCCCGGGATGAAGCGTCTCCAGCTGGAATCTCTTCTCCTTCCCCCAGTGGAATCGTGGTTTCTAGAGGTCTCGGGATCGCCACGGCTGCAGAGTAATCCGAGCAGCAGCTGGAGGCTCCGCACCGCCTCCCGTGCCCGGCTTCGGGGCTTTGATTTCACACAGGGCTCCCTGTCTCCCCTCCTCTCCCTCCTCCTCCTCCTCTCCGGGCCCTCCCCTCAACTCTCGGGAGCGAAGAGAAGCTTTTTGGTGGGTTTCTGGTGCTGGGAGGCTCGCGGAGTTTTGCAGCTTACTCCAGGTAAGGAGAGAAAGGAGAGGGAAAGGAAAGCCTGGAGGGGTCGGCTGGATGGGGTGTAGAAGCTGGAAAGTGCAGAGCGGGGGTCCTTTCCCCCCGGGTTGTATTGATAAAGGCATGGCAAAGGCATTCCTGACTGGGAACTTCCCATCTGTGAGTGGATTAAGCTGACGGGGAAGGTGTGTTTGGGAAGGGGGGGAGAGAAAGCCGAGCAAGATTTATTCATTCTCTCATTGAAGGAAAAGGATGAAAGAAGCTGCTGGGTGTGACTTCTGAAGCAGGAGGTCAGAAAGCACGGGGTTCCCCTGATAGTGCACACACCCTGTAAACTTTCAAGCAGCTCCCAGGAAACTTGTTATTAATGCTGCAGTCATTAAAAGGCGCAGCCCACGGCAGATTTATTAGCTCAGTAAACCACAACACGTGCCAAGCTCTCCGGAAACAAAAGGGTCTGTCAACTTCACTCCTCTTGCTTGGGATTTGGGAAGCCTGGGAGGAGAGCGGTGGGGATGGAGCTGGTGGCTTTTGTCGCGGGGATGTGGCATCGCCTCCGTTAGCCGCCGCTCGCCAGCACGGTTCGTGAACGCGATTCCGTGGCAGCGAAGACATTGGAGCACGGCTGCAAGGAAAGCACAGCGAACCCTGCCGAGCTCACGGCAGTGGGACGAGCAGCCCCCGGCCTCCCGAATGGAAAGCTTTCCCCGTGTGCCTGCCATGATAAATCAGCTGCCGTCCGCCTGAATAACAGCATTCACTGAAGTTACAGTAGGAAACTTGTCTGGCTGGACACTGTGCCATTGCTGTGCGGAGAGCAGCCGGTGCCGATGGCTGGCGATGCGCTGAAACATCGCATTGATCGGTGCTGGCAGCAGCGGGCTATTGCAGCGGCGAGGAGCAGCGCGAACGCCGGCAGGAGAGGCGCGGAAAGGCAGCCTTGGACCGTCTCGCCGATCTCCCCGGGAACAAGAAGCACGCTGGATGTGTTAGATGCTGAAAGGAGCGGAGGAAGCTGGCACGTCCCTGGATTTGCAGGCTGAACTTGGCTGTGGGCTCGCAGGCGCTCAGAGGCGAAGCGGGTCAGTGTGTGCCATCGCCCTGGCGCGGGGCCTGGCTCTGCTCCCGCCTGACCCAGGGAGGCAGTCCCGGCCTGGAGAGGACGGGGAGGTGCCTGCTCACACACACGGGTTATAAATGGCCCGAGGAGGAGCTGCCCCTGCCCTGCTGCAGAGGCGGTGGGTGCGCGGGGAGCGGTGCTGGCCGCACACGGGGCGGGCACGGAAAGGCGGCAGCGCTCGGACGGATTGTCCCTTGCGGCATCCCGGAGCCGGGCAGACGGTGCTGATTTGTGAATGAATTTGAGCAGCTGCTGTCAGAGGCAGTGGGGAGCAATAACAAAATGCCTGGAGGGAACGAGGACGTGACAGACATCCCAGGGGACATTAATTTCTGATGACAGGCTGGACTGGCAGGAAAGGCTGCAGGGTTGGGATGAGGGTCTCCTGCACCTCTATTCTTTACAACTAAGTGCAAGGAATAAATCAGTATTGAATGGATGAGAGGAAATTGGGAGAAAAGGGTGAAAACATGCAGAAGTTTCTAAGGGTTTTTGTGGATTTTTTTTTTTTTTAAATATAGGGAAAAGTATCCTGTGCTTCCCCAGGCAGCCACACAGTGAGCAGCAGTGAGTGTCACCCCGGGGCAAGACCGAGCTGGGAATAAAAGGTGAGCCACCGTCTTCCAGAGGTTTAGAGTTTTCCCTCCATCCCTAACTGCTTTTTTTTTATCCTCTTTCAGTCTCTCCTCCTTCCTCCTCCTCCTCCTTCTCTTTTGTTAGCTGGTTGGTGGGGAGAAGCAGAGTCTGGAGGGTGGGATGAGACAAGGCATCCTTGTCCGTCGGCCCTCCTGACCCCTGGCACCCCCAGGCTCCACACGGTAGCTGCAGCACTGGCCGCCTTGGCAGGCTATCAAAAGAAACTTCCAAACACGGAGATGTTGAGAGCTGGGAAGCGATAAAGGCTGGCTTGAGCAAGCTGTTTCTTGTCTTAAAATTTGGCACCTGGACCTATCGAGGCAAATGTATGAATGGCTCAGCCATTCATTACAAGGAAATCTTGATATATTAATTTTTATTGCAATTTTTTTTTTGGAGGGGGGTTAATTTCCTGGGAGTTTCTATTGTATTCATGGTGTGCAGCAGGGGGGAAGGAAATATGTGTTCTGGAAATCGCCCCAGCCTTCCCTTCTGCTTGCAGACACTGCAAAAGATTAAACCATCCTGGCTGCCTTAGCATGGGACATTCCTGAGTTGCATTAACCAGTCTGGAAATCTCTTGTCAGAGCAGTGGCAAACTGGAAAAAAGCACTTTATCTTCACCACAGCAGACAGAGGGCCACGTGCTGTGTGTAATGTCTGAGTGCCGGTGTCGGCACGGTTTCTTTTCCTTCCCGTTTCTCCCTTCCTCATTCTTTTTTGCAGTCTGTGTCTCTGTGATGGTGATTCCTTTCCTTTCCCCTGATTCTTGCCAGCAGCTCCAACCCAGGGGTGGGGAGAGAAATCACGTAATGGTTTGGGCTGAACCTTAAAGATCATCCAGTTTCAACACCCTGGCTATGGGCAGGGACACTTTCCACTAGACCAGCTTATTCAAAGCCCCATCCAACCTGGCCTTGAACACTTTCAGGGATGGGGACTGGATTTTTTTTTTTTTTTTATTTTTTTTTTTTACTTTGAATAAGATAATCCTCCTCAGGAAAAACTGAGAGTCAAACTCCTATTGTGGCTCATGGGTCAAACCAGACATGATTCCTCAACCCCATTGTGTCTGAGGTGACACATATGCATGGGGCTTGTGTCACCTGTCTCCAAGTGGGGCAGGAGATGTCCCTGACCCCAAAAGAGCCTGTTTTCCTCCCATCCTTGAGAACGATATGTCTGTAGCACTTGGCATGGTGAGGCCAAACTTCACAGAGCAGGATGGGGGAGATCCTTTCTCCAAAGCACTTTAATCCTACTGCAAAAGTTCCGTTTGTATCTGTCCAGGACCAGAGCACTGCAACTTCTTGCAAGTGAATTGGAGAATTCAAAGAATTATGGGATCATAGGGTAACTGAACCTGGCCAGTGTCATCCATCCCCTTCCCTCTCCTCTGGCCTGACTGCCCATTTTGCAGAGGGCAAAGCAGGGTTGCTGTCCCTAGAGTGTCCAGGAATGCGGGAGCTGGACTGGTGCCCAGGGACTGTGGTAACATTTGTCTGGACCAGTTACAGCAGTGAGACTGTTGGCCGGGGACTTCCATGGGGGGTGAGACCCACAGGCCTTGTGCTCCCTTCCCATTTAAACTGGTGGGAATTAAACCTGGGGATGGGGGGTGAGTGAATACCTCTCAGACCTAGTACTAGTCCTTGTTAAAGTGTCAGGAGGGAAACTGAGGCACTTAAATGGGGACTCAGGGCAGCATCAGTGGTGAGAAATTGGTTCTGCTGGGGAAATGGCCCTCCCAACCCACTTCAGATGATCTTTCTCCAAAATCCTCCACCAGCCAAGAGGGATTGGAGAATCCTGGGCCAAGGAGGGGAGGAAAAGAGCTGAGGAGATGCTGAACATCATGGGGGCAATGAAACATCATCTGCAGTGGGAATCATGGTGGGAATGGCACACTACTGGTAAAACCCCTTATCTGCTCTACCTACAACCCTTCTCCTCCCCAAATCCCCCCTTCACAAACCTTGTAGGAAACCCACTGGGTCTAGTAAATGTCTCACGTGCTTCACTGGGGTGGGGGCAGCTTCTGAAGCCCCAGCTGATGCTCCACCAAGCATCACTGACATTCATTGCTTGCAGCATCATGATGCAAGAATTATTGGAGAGGAGGGGCAAAGAAAGGCCATGAGGGGAATGAGATGGGAACCTCCAGCTGTGCTGTTTGCAACAATAATGGCCAGGATTGTGTTTATTATCTCCTCCGTGGAGGGCCTGCAGCTGCACGCTGAGAGCCACAGACAGCAAAGGGGCCCAGAGATTATTGTGTATGGAAAAAAATCCAACCGCAAAAATAAATAAAAAGCCCACAAAGAATCCCTGGGCCAGCTGGAGCAGTGCCATTGGGCACCCAGCTTAACTCCCAGTCTCCTGGTTTTGCCCTTCCTCACTGAAGTCAGCAACCCCTCAGGGCTATTAGAAGGGAGATTGGCAGCTTCTGCCTTTCAGAGAGCTAAAGCTGCATGGGGTCCTCTTAAAATCCTTCTGCCAGGGCTGAAGGTGTCGCCCAGCCAGGCTGAATTTCTTTTTCCTCTGCTTTCTAATGATTTTTTCCAGTGCTGGCTGCACCATGACAAAGGCATGCTGTTGGAGGCAGCGCTTAAACCTGATCTGCAGCCACCTCTGTTGTAATGGATTCAATTCTCTTTGAGGTCTTTTCCAACCTTAATGATTCTATGATTCAAGGAGAAAGAGCTGGAAAGCCATTAGAAATACAGGATGATGAGGCTGTGATGAGTTGCTTGCTTTTGGTGGGACGTGTCTCACCAGAAAGAGCTGAGGCATCACCCTGCTATGTATCACCTTGTCCTCCCTCCTCTCTCTTGTTTCCTTCCCCCTGCCTAGCTCATCTCCTCTGGGGGAACCCATCCATGTCTACCCATGCAGCATGGTCTCTCTGCAGCTCAGGCCAGCCCTCATGGGGTGATTTGAAGCAATCCAGATCAGGGATGTGGAGTACATCCATAGGCATCACGCCTTTTCCTCACTGACCAGAGAGCTGCTGGTGGGTCCTTGCAACCTGCACTTCCCTGGCAGGAAACACGGTACCTGCCATCCCAGGGACGTGCATGGCATGTGGCATTTCCCAGCTGGGCACAGTGGCATGGCTGATCAGCTCTTCTAACAGCTAAAACCAAGAAGTATCCGGTGTGGGTAGGAGGTTTCCTCTCCCTGTGCTGCACCTCTTAACGTTCCTCGCTGGCATATGGTGTTCATCCTGGAGTGCATTTCTCTGGAATTATATCATGTCTCTGGGAGCTGGAGTGCAGTGAAAAAGTATCATCATAGCAGGAGCCAGCACAGGAGCTGTCTGGGGCTGGCTGTCAGGTGTGTGTCGCCAAGGGCTGAGCCTCCAGGAGAAGCTTGCTGGCATGATTTTCGCTTTCAATAATTGACTAGTTAAGAAAGGAGGAGGGTTGAGTCCTCTCAAGGTTACTGCTGTGATTTGGGTAAAGCCTGGGCACTCGCAGGCTCCCTTCATGCCTCACAGTGCGTCCTTGGGGACTGGAGGTGATGGGGCAGGTAGCTTCACCAGGTCATTCTACAGCAAAATGCTCTAGAACTGGCATAAAACTCTGTGTAAACCTCTCCTTTGGCTATGAAGCACCATGTTGAAGGGCTGGTCTGTTCCCGAGTTTGTGCCAAAATAACAGAGACCTCCCATTCTGGGACATGTCGCTATGATAAAAATTCTATTCAGGCTGAGTTTGAGATGGTTAAGAAAATATTTGTGTTCCTGGCAGAGATGAAGTCTCTCTTGTACTCAGCGAGTGCCAGGATAGTGAGGCCTCCTGCTCTTGGAAGTGCTCACAGTTAACAAGCAGAGCAGGGAGGACAAGAAATAGGAGTTGTTAGGGGTAAAAGAGTTTAGGGTGGCCATGCTGGAAATGCTTCTAGAGCAGGAGAAAGTTCTGAGCTCTCACATCCCTTGCTGGCACCTGTTTGACTGATTCCATGCATCCCGGGCTGCTGGGAAGCACTTGTGTCTGCCAAAGCTCCCAGTTGGAGTGGTTCTGCAGCTGGAATAGTCAGGAGGCAATGGTGGGGCTGGGATGCTCACATCCTGTCTGCTCACATCCCGTAAAACCCTGTGAATCCCTCCTTGTGCTGCACCACTCCAACACCTGCCTTCCTCTGCCCCCAGCCACTCAGGAGGCCTGGCAAACAATTTCCTTTTGGGAATGCCCCCTCTGGGCACAAGCACAGCTTGACTTGAGGCTGGAGAGCAAAACTGCTTTCAAAATCCACAGGAGACTAATTCCTCCACCTGGAAATAAACTGCTATTAAGCTGACAGCTTTCTGGACTGAGCAGAGAAGTGGGAATTTTGTGCAAATCCTGATGCCACGGTGATTTAATTCCTAATTTTCCTGTGCTGGATGTGGCACAAACATTTTCCCACTTGAGGAAAAATTCCCTGGGCTGATCTTCCCTCACAAAATGCATTTTTTCAAGGCACAAAGCTTTTAGTGTGGCAGAAATTGTATTTCAGCCACGGATGTAAATGAGCTGGAAGTTACTGTATGGGCTGGCAGACCTGCCTGCACATGTTTTCCTTTTGTCAGATCCCAAAATACACCACCCTGCACCTTGGTTTCCTCCTCCAGGAGGAATGAGGGATGCCTGAGGGGGAAGATAGCACAAGTGGAATAAACTACTAGCTGTTTAAGCATGAGGATGATAAATTATCTGTGGCCTCTTGCAAAGCAGATGGGAACTGTGACATTAACAGTTGTAACAAAGTTTATTTTAATAAGTCTTTCCATTTCTTTATTAAATAAAGGATTCTCTTTTTACATTAAAAAATTGAGCAGAGACTTTCAGCCAAGCAAGAATTTCAGTGTCTTTTCCCAAGTAACAAGCAATGGGACAAGAGGAAACAGCTTCAAGTTGCACTAGGGGATGTTTATATTGCAAATTAGAGAAAATTTCTTCACCGAAAGGGTTGTCAAGCATTGGAACAG